ATAGATCCCTTTATCATTACATAGTGGCCTTCTTTGTCTATTTTTATGGTTTTTTTAATTTAAAGTCCTTTATCCATCATAAGAATAGCTATTCCCACTCATTTTTGGTTTCCATTTATGTGGCATAGATTTCTCCATCCCTTCACTATTAGTCTGGGTGTCTTTACAGGTGAGGTGAGTCTCTTGAGGACAGCATATAGTTGGGTCTAGGTTTTTAATCCAATCAGTCGGGCTGTGTCTTTTGAATGGTGAGTTTAATCCATTTACATTTAGGGTTGTTTGGTAGTGATTATCATTTTTTAGATTGCAGATACAGGACTCCCTTAAGGATTTTTTGTAGTGCTGGTTGTGTGGTGGTGAACTCGTGTAGTTTTTGTTCATCTGGAAAATACACTATTGCTCCTTCATTTCTGGAGGGTAGCCTTGCTGGGTATAGTGTTCTTGGCTGGTGGTTTTTTTTCTTTTAGTATTTTGAATATATCATCCTATTTTCTTCTGGCCTGTAGAGTTTCTGTTGAGAAGCCTGCTGTTAGTCTGATAGGAGCTCCATTATAGGTGACTCGACACTTTTATCTTGCTGCTTTTAAGATTCTCTTTGCCTTTGAGCTTTGCCAGTTTTACTATAATGTGTCTCGGAGAGGATTTTTTGGATTGAATCTGTTTGGAGATCTTTTATCATCCTGGATCTTAAGGTCCATGTCCCTCCCGATACCTGGGAAGTTTTACATTATTATTCCACTGAATAGGTTTTCCATGCCTTTTCCTTTCTGGACCCCTTTTCCTTTCTGACCCCTTTCTGGATCACTCATAATTTGAATGTTTGTGTGCATAAGGTTGTTTGCCAGCTCTCTTAGATTTTCTTCATTTAAAATTTTTTTTTCCTTTTTTTGGTCTGCCTGAGTTATTTCAAAAAGACTATCTTCAAGATCAGGAATTCTTCTACTTGTTCTAGCCTGCTGCTTAAGCTCTCAGCTGTGTTTTTTGTTTTATTGAATGAATCTTTCAGTTTTGCGAGTTCTGCTACATTCTTTTTTAAAGTTTTAATCTCTTTGTAAATTTTCTCCTTCATATCCTGGATTTTTTTTTCTTGTTTCATTATGTTGTCTAACTGAGTCATCTCATATCTCATTGAGTTTCCTTAAGATTGTTGCTCAGAATTCCTTTTCAGTCATTTCAAGAGTTTCCTACTCTCTAGGGTCTGGTATTTGAGAATTACTGTACTCTTTTGGTGTTGTTGTATTTTCTTGGTTTTTCGTATTTACAGTATCTCTACAGTGATGTCTGGTCATCTGGTTGAGCAGTTGCTTCTTCCATTACTCTGGAGTGGCCTTTGAAGAGAGAGACTTCCTCTTCTTTTTCTAGTCTCTGCTGGTGATTCTCCTTGTGTCAATGCGGTCAAGTGAGTGGCAGACTGCCTGCATAGTGGCTGTGGCTGATACTATGGCAGCAAGCTGCCCTTGGGTGACAGTAAGCTGCTCTTGTGGTGGCAATGGCTTTGGCAGTGGCTGTGGTGGACCATCCACATGGAAGTGGTGATTTCAGTGTGCCATGTGGTGGGGGCTGCCCACAGCTCCTGCCTAGGACCCCATGCATGCTCTTGCCTTCTGCCAAGTGGTGGGGATTGCCCATGGCTCCTGTCTAGGACCCTGTGCATTCTCCTGCCTTCTGCCAGGCAGTCTCTCTGGGTTCTTAAAGGATATGATTATATTGAAATCAGTCCTCTATTTGAATTTTCATTTCCTCTACTATGTTCTCTTCCCCACCATTCTTTTCTACTTCTTCCTGATTCCTCTTCTTCCCTCCACCTTTTATTTTGGCCTTCCTGTTTTCTCTTTCTTCTATTATTTCCTCATTTCTCTCCCTTCCCAAATGCCATTTTATTCATCAGTGGTTCTCTCACTTTTTTTTCTGTTTTCTCCCTTCATTCTCCCCTCATTATTTTTATTTTTCTCTCTCTCCCATTCTTTCTAGATATTTGTCATTATATGGCTTTCTTATGGAACTGAAGTTCATATGATTAAAATTCATGTGGCTTTTATTACATTGTTTGTTATATTCTTTCCATGATAAATGTTTTTTTCTACTCTAACTGAAACAAACTTTCTTCAGGTACCTAGACAGATGCAAATAGAAAACTTTAATTTTATTGATTCTTATCTCATAGATCTAAGCCCCAGATAGAGGACACCCCAAACATTTATAGAACATGGAAGGGTGCTTCATAAGAATGTTCATAGCAGAAGTATTCATGAAAGCCCCAAACTGGAAACAATACAACTATTCAAGAACAGTAGGATGGATAAATAAGTGGTGGTAAATTCAGGCAATGGGATACTATACAGAGGGAGAATTAATGAATGATTGCTATATACAATAACATGAATTAATCTCATGATCAAAATATTGAGTAAAAGAAGACAGACACAAAAGAGAAGGGTGAAAAGGAGAAATAATCTTTGATTCCATGTGTATGCAGTTCAAAAAACAGGTTTTAGAAGTCAAGACAGTGATGACCCTGAGGGCAGTTAGTGGAGGGAGTATGAGGTGGCTTGAGGTGGGTTATGTTCTTTTTATTTGGGTGCATGCTACACTGGTATGCTTGTTTTGTGAAATTCTTCAAGCAGTACACTATGATTTTTACTTTTTATATATATGTTTTATCAGAATGAAAAGTTTGCTAAAAAAATGAAAACCATTGTACTAAAATAAGTTAAAATATTTGGGAAGGAATTACAAGATTTAACTGAGATATTTTTGAGTAACATTGTCTATTGTACTGATAAATATACAAAGAGAAATTACACACAGACAAATGGAAGTGGTACTATAAAGAATACATCAAAATGATGACTGATAAGAGTAATGGCAAACTTGGAATACAGAGATTTTGTTATATTTAAAGGTTTTGTTCAGAGAGGATACATCTGAGTAGTTTAGAAAGCAACTTTACATTTATTAAAAAATATGTGCAAATATTTCCAAATGTACATGATTTGCTTTTTTTCACTTGTTATTAAAATTCACATACAATATGGAATCTTATCCTAGGTAAAGAACATAACAAAAGACAGCTTTAATTTCAAGTAAAATTTCCATTGACAATACAGAATTCAAAATATGCTTACTATTCAAATGCATAGAAGAGACAGTATTCCTAGATTGTTTTGGGGAGACAAGTCAGACTATGGTCTTATATAGTCACAAATGGACCCAATATTTTACAAAACTCTAGCCTTATTGTAAAATGTGAATTTGGGCTGGCTGGTGAGCTCACTTGCAAGAGCATGGTGCTAATAACACCAAGGTCAAGAGTTCAGACACCCATACCAGCCAGCCACCAAGAAATAAAATAACTTTGGTATTTCCTTCAAAAAATGAGCAGTGCATATTTTCTCTATTGAGCAGAGGTATTAATCCATTTTCTGCAAGATTATTACATTCATTCTTTAGAGATATGATTTATAAGCAGGTATTTCTGTGAAAATGAGATAGCATCATGTAATCCCAATTATGCTGTGACCAGATTTATAACCAGAATTCAGAATCAACCAATTTGATATAATTACTGATCATATTCCTTCACAAGTAGACACATTGTTTCTGATTGTATTTATGAAGAAAAATGGAGATAAATCATTCTACCTATGGATAGTCAAACACATTTGAGAATTTCACACATCTGTGCCAAAGGGACATACAGTTCTCAATCAAGCAAAGCATTGTCAGTTGAGGACCTGCATATTTATTTTTCTCTAGAAATGAAGTATAAGTTCATTCACTCCGACATGAAATATATGAGAATAGTCCACAAGACCAAAGCATGTATTTTATATATAATACCTAGAAAATAGTTGTCACTCAGAAAAGATTAAGCAAAAATAAAAGATATAGAGCTGAGCAGTTAGCTCAGTTGGTTGAGCATGGCCCTGTAACACCACGGTCAAGGGTTCAGTTCCCCATAACAGCAGCCACCAAAAAACAGAAAAACAAACTAAAAAACCCCACAGACACAAAAATAAAAGACATAAAATTTTCTGGCTTAAAATGTTGATTTTTAAAAAACCTATATATTTTTAATATATATATTCCAAACCATTTTTTTTCTTTTGATGTTGAGTTCATTTAGAATGCTTCGTCTTTTTTTTTTCAGACAGAGCAGAGAAAGCATGACATCCTTCGTCTTTTAAGAACTCATTTTAAACAGATTACTACAGGCAATTTACTTTTAAGATTTTTTGAAAAGTAATCAGAATTCAGTTAAAGATTACTTACTTTACATACTGCTAAAATTTTAGAGAAAAATAGAAACTCACTTTACTTACCATGGTCTTATAAACATACCAAAATTGTTTTTTTGCTCAAAATAGCACAGCTTTTGTGTTAGATTTTAAATAGACCATACCTATATATACCTCCATGCAATGATCATTTCTATAGACTAAAATAAAGACTGCATTTGTAAGCTAGCAATAGTCTGTCATATATTTTGTTTGATCTTAATTGTGATCCACAATTATATCAAAAAATTATTTCTAAAAACCATGAGAATCTCCATATCACTTCACTTTTCTGCATCAATGTTTCTAAGATAGTTTAGCCCAGATCTGTAGCTTTTAAGTGAACCATTTCCAGGATCAATGAGATCCTGAGTTCTGGTTATATATCTGGTCATATATGACAATGCTTTATTATTAACCACTAACCAAACTTGCATTTTAAAAACTTCATCTTAGGGCCGGCCCGGTGGCGTACTGCTACAGTGTGCCGCTTGGGAGCGCGGTGGCGCTCCCGCCAAGGGTTCGGATCCCACATACAGACCGGTTCCCGCTCACTGGCTGAGCGAGGGGCGGGCGCAGCACCGAGGGTTGCGATCCCGTTGCTGGTCCCGGTCCGGTACGGGCGCGACACTGAGGGTTGCGGTCTGTTGCCGGACACGAAAAAAGACAAAAAAAGGAAAAAAAAAAACAAAAACAAAAAAACTTCATCTTATATACCAAAAGTCATTTTTGAAAGCTTTTATTGATAAATGCATTAGTAATTATATTTCAGCATTAACTGAATGTGACTGTAGACCGTGATCAATGCAGCTCATGGATATCAAAGTCAGTTAGAAACTGATTTTTCTTTATCATTAGTCATTCCTGACTCACCTACCCAAAGAGGCTGTTGGGTCAGCACTTACTCAACTGAACAGAAGAGGCATCCATGTGGACATTGTTGGCAAGTCTGTCACGGGGGATCAGCAGCATATGATAACATGGGCAGATCCTGTACATTGCTAAATCACCTAGATAATTCTCATCATCTTGCACATTTTAGAGGTCAGCTGTTTATTTTATAAATAAAGCCTAGAAACAATCTTAGTGCTTCTCTTTGAATGGCTAAGAGGGTAAAAAAGTCAAAGATCTAAAAAAATATAATAGAAGAATGAGTGTTTCAAGCCTGAAGAAATAGTCAATGCAGAAAACATTTGCATAGAATGACATTTGGTGAGTACATTTTGTTTTGCAGTCCTTGCCCATAGTGACCTCCTTAGCCTGCTTTCAGGAAGCAAGTCTACGCATAGCCTGTGGAAGCAAAGGAGAAACAAAGTGTTGATGCAACTGAATTCTCCTTAAGTCTACATTATCTTTTTTACAAATACATTTTTATAGTTTTGCTTGCTTACTTTTATTCATCTTAGGTACATATCATCACAATAGAAGTAAAGTGAAAACTTAATTTTTTACCTTATCATACTTGAATTGGATTCATTTAAAAGCAATAATTACTATTTATACAGCACTTACTATGTACAAGACACTGTTCTTGTTACTTTACATGCATCCTTTAATTTTTATAACTCTGTACTATTACTCTTTCTTTTTTACGTGTAGATATGAAAATGAAGGCAGGGTAAGTAATTTGCCCCAGGCTGCACAACTAGTAAGTAGCAAAATCAGGCCTACCCAATCCGTCTGGTTCTAAAGCCCATGCTCTTGAAACCACTGTGCTATACTGCTCCACCATCTTATAAAAATCCTGCCTGAATGATCCTTTTATGTGGTAATCAATAAATATCTTATAATGTGGCAGTTTCCTAAGTTCCAATTTTGATATATGAGTTTTTACTCAAACTAAGGTGCCCTATATCCACAGAGTTGTAAACTACTGAAGCTCGGGAAATACTGCTCTGTTCAGTGATGACTTTCCTGGGCTCACTAAGCTCGTGTGTTAAGATGTAGGGCCTGTGATTTTCACTCTACCAATATATTTTTCCATAAAAATCTCTGCCTGATTTTACCATATGGAGTTTAATGTTATTCTTTTCAACATTTTTATCAGGACCTGGAAAAAGGCAGAGAAGGCATGCTTGTCAGATTTGCATATGACAGGAGCAGGGTAGGGGGAGTAAATATGCTGGATGATAGATTTGAAATACAAAACTATGTCAGCAAACTGGAAGCAAAAGATGTAATTTAGCAGAAATATATGTAGTCCTGCATTAGGACCAAAAACTAATTACATAAATATAAATGGGGAATCCAGCTAGGCCATTGTTTGTGTGAAAATGCCCAAATCCTTAATTGATCCCTGGCTCAATAGAAGACAAGGTTTCAAAGTAACTATTACGAAAGCTAACACATTTTAAAGATGCCATAATAGAAATATCTTGACAAGATCAAAGTAGGTCATGGTCGCATAATCTCCATGCTGGCCTGACTACATTTTGGGTTTGGTGTCCCCATCTTGGCCAGAAAAGCATTGACAAACTGCTTGTCTATGAGGAACAATAGAAAGAAGGAAAGAGTCTTGCCTGGAGGAGAATCTGGTGGAGACATGAGAGCTATTCTCAAATATTTGAAGGGCTATTCAGTGGGAATATTTGTGTTGCTAAGGAAGGCAGTTCTCAGTACAGTAGGTGGTTATTACAGAAAGGCCAAATTCAGTTTTATAAGCACAGCTAACACTTAGAAACATCCAACCATGTAACAAACTCCCTTGATAAGTCACTAGTTGCCAACGTCTGTAAATAGGCAAAAGCTGAGTGAACATCAGTCAGGGATGGTATAGGAGGAATTTCTGCATGGATTACAATGTTGGATTACTTGATTTCTAAGAAATCTTTCAACTTTACAATTCTGTGATCTCCTTTTGTTGTTCCCATTTTCCTCAGTGGTGGAGCCACAAAGTTCACTCAGATTCTACAAGTGCAGCCAAGTTTGCTAAGCATAGTCTGATGCCAGAAGAGCATCTGAAATACACAGTCAGTCTTGGGTGGAGGGGGTGTCTCTTTTAAGCCACTATCAGATTAAGGAAGGTCATGAGGTTCTTGCTCCTCATGTACTGTTCCTAAAGCTTATGAAAGTCCTAGATTAGAAATTCCCTCTATAGACCCTTCCCCTATCCCGTGGCCTTACATCTCTGGAAGAGAAGTATGCAGAAGCTTAGGTATAAAATCAAGACCTGTATGTTGGCTGCTGCCAGTCGTGATCATCCCTATATGCCTTGGGCGAAAGGTCCCCAAGTACTTAATATCTTCAAGGGAGAATTTTTGTTTTACATTTTCCTTGTCTATGAAGCTATTCTTTTGGTATTTTTTGAAATTATTTTCCCTGAACAGTTCTTAATCAGGCATATTCCCTATTTGCATAAGTCTATTTATCCAAGATTTAGTCCAAATTATTTTCTTTGTAAGAAAATAATGACCATACCTCATCCTGGACATCAAGTTCGTCTTCAGTCAGCTCTTTTTCCATTAATTCAAGAGAATCTTTACAGTCTTGAATGCGGGTGATCTTGACAAAGGGAACACAGAGTATTTATTGGAAATATAATAGCATCAATCCACCTGTTACTCCACTGAAAATGATTTGAAGCTTTGTTGATGCTTCTCATCTATAATCTACATAATTCAGAATCCTCTTCAGCTTTCTCTTCCTTTCGTATTTCCCACCTTAGAATTTCCCCTATACCATTTTTTCACATTCACATGTGAACTGGTATGCTCTCCATTGTCTAAACTCCTTTTCAGCTCTCTTCCCCAACCTTTGAAGCATATGCCTCTTAACAAATCACCCCCTCTACCTACACAATTCAGCAGTCAACAGTGCTTCTCTTTCAACAGCTAAGCTAAGAGCACTTAGAACAGCATTGAGCATGCCGTGAATGCACAGTGAAGGGCTGTGACTAATGACAATAAACAGTCCCAAGTTGAATGGGATAGAAATTAATTTTATCAGAGATGGAAGCCAACATGTATGGACCAAGTTGGTTGTTCAGGAAATTTCTGCTTTTAAAGGCTACTGTATAGCTTAATCTTCTACACATAGGAAACGAACAATAATTTGGGCTTTGTCTTATGCATGAAGAAGGACATTTCCAAAGAAACTCCAAATGTACATTAAGGCTAAAGATGTTTTCACTTCACAAATAACCCAGTTCTCTTTGCTAGTGTATAAGTGGATTAGAGGGTTAAGTCCCGGTGCAAATTGTTATGATATAATGGGAAAGGTAGAAGCTATCTGTAACCAGAAGCTGGGACTGTCCTGGGATAGTCCTTGTGATGGTAAAATAAAGGGATACGCAGAGGGTCATATTACTGCATCCACAATATCCGTAATACACAAGCGACTTTCCCTGAAATTAAGGAAAGTACAACAGGTGAGTTTTATCATCATTTACCATACATCTACTTTGTGCTAGACCCTGAGGAGATGCAGAAGTATAAGATTCCTTGTCTCACAAGCCACGACTAATGCTCAATCTACTATCTAGTGAACTAGTAAGCATATAATACAGATAGTCAGTTATACTCAGCCTAATATTTATTCAGGGTCCAAAAAAAAAAATCTATCTCAGCCACTAACAATGCCTCTCTGATGGCAAACCAGATTGAGTCTAACCTAGTAGGTACACTCTTGGTTGGTGGTTTTTTGTGACATTCATATCCTAAGATCATTTATACCTAAGAATAGGTATAAACAAATAACAAAATAACTATTTTCATGTTGAGAAAGAACTTGATACCTTGGTTCTGTTTTACTTTTAACATCTGATCTTTTTTTAGATACTTTATATGATCCTGCTTTGTTGTTGTTACCTATGGGTTAGAGAATAAACTGGATAGAAAAATAGAAAAAGATTTCTTTATTTGTTTTTTGTTTTTTTCTAAAATATGACCAGCAAGGGGATCTTAACCCTTGACTTGGTGTTAACAGCACCACGCTCTCCCAAGTGAGCCACGGGCTGGCCCTGGATAGAAAAAGGTTTATGAATTTTCAAAGATGAGCACCTTGCATGTAGCTTTTTTTTGGATTTTTGGTTTTACTAATTTTTTCCTTTTTGATATTTAAGATCCACACCTTGATATTTAGGGCTAGTATTTTCCCCAGTAGCATTAAGCAGAAAAATCTCTCCACTAACAGTAGCTGAAAAGAAAAAATGTAATATTGTTTTTTAAATTAGCCTAACTTTGAGCATCAACTTCCAATCTATAATAAGGATCTACTTATCTGAATTTTAGAAAAAAAGGAAGGAATTTAAAATATAATATACTATATCACTGGAATAATTGTTGTTATTATAATATTTCGATAGATATTTGTTTTAATTTCCTGAACTCTCTTTGAGAGGGCCCATGAAAAAGGAGGTTATTGTAACAGGCCCACAAGTGGGCCCAGCCCAATAAACCAGACCAGACTGCTTACCTCTTCTGGGTATTTGACAGGAAATTTGACAAAATAAGACCTTTAGGAGATCAGGGTCTGTTTTATTTTTGTGGGGAAGAATTAACCCTAGGTTTATCTGATGGATCCTATTTAAAAACACTTATAATTCAAGGGTTTCCAGATTGCTGAGAATTTAAGTTGCATTTATGTACATAAATCACAGAAGATCTAAGATTCAGTGCTACATTCTAAACAGGCACTACAGCCAATGTCTACTTTTATTAGTATACTCACACACTGTAGAACTGTCATATACTAGGTACTACCAACTACTTTCTTACAAACTATCTTGTTCAGTCTTCACATCTACCCAGCAAGGCAAATTTTTTACTCCTATTTTACTGACGAGAAAACTGAGACTCCAAGAAGTTATGCAGATGGCCTAAAATCCAACAGCTGGGCTGAAGTTCAAACCTAGACTTGTACAATTTTTGCTATTTACAGAAATCATGATAGTTTAGGAAAGACACATATGTAGAAAAGTTAAATATTTACCGCTTCTAAAATGGAATCTTGACCCTTTTGGGATTTAACCTGGTTCTGTAGATAGAGTATAGCATCATGGACAGTCAAAAAGAGTATGTCCGTTCTAATGTTATCATCAAAGAAACCACATTGTTCCAGCTTTTCTATCACATGATCTTCAAAAGAAAGATGTTTAGTTAGTCTCTAAGAAAAGATATTTTGGTAGCATCAACCAATACTAAGTTTTTGCAGCTCCTTCTTTTAATTTTTTTTTCTTTTTTCTAAAATGTGACCCTGCTCTGTGACTGAATTTCTTTTCCAATAGCACACAGAATGATTATCCCATAACTGGATGTAGTAGGCAGCCTTGGTGCCTGACCATGTCCCTTTTGCCAGGCTGGTATACCCATCCTCCAGCTGCTGTGAACCTGGCTGCTAATGGCTCACAGCCATGCCCTTCTCTGGAGAATTTTCCTTGGCCAATGGGAGCTGTCTCACCTGAAGAGGCCTGGGAGGTTACACCCCAACATGTGGGTGGCCCACAGCCACTGACTAACTATATGGGTGTAAAAAGGTGGGTGCCCTTGCCTCCAGGAGGCATAACCCTATGCTGTACTTCCTGCAGTGGTGCCCTCAGGAATCTAAGGCTAGACTTCTGAAGCCATGTCTTTGAACAGCTTCTTCCCCTGCCCTATCCTGCTACCCTCACTCCTTCATAAATTTCTCCAGGGGTACTCTCTCAATAAATCATTTGTGCAAGAATCCCCATCTCAGGCTCTGCTTCCGGAGAACTCAGCTGAAGCACTAGCACTTTCCTACACACATACACTTATACACAGACACAGAGATTCACACCCTTGAGAATCGTCTTGTTCTAAGGGCTCTAAGTCATCTCCAGCTTTGCTTTCTCCATAATTTCCCCCATTGATCTTGCAACACTGTCAGGATATAAATTATATACATTACCAGTTCTGCAGTACAAATCAGAAGTAATATCTTTTTGGGCTCAAAAATGCCCTCAGAGTTATTGCTTAATGGGTAGGAGTTTCTGTTTGTGGTAATGAAAAATTTTGGAAATAGTGGGAAATAGATAGCAGAAAACAGATAGTGGCTGATGGTTGCACATTAATTAATTATATATTAATATAATTAATGTCAATGAATTAATTGTACACTTGAAAGTGACTAAATTGGCAAATTTTATGTTATACACCCTTTACCACAATTAAAAAATAGGGCTTTTTGATTAAAAAAAGGACTTCAGACATCATGTGCCCACATTACAAAGTAGGAGAAAAGGCTTAGGGGAAAGACTTATAGATTGATATGTACATATATGCTTTTACCTTGAAGTGATGCAAAGTACACATTTACATCAATTCTTTGGAATTCTTTGACAATCTAAAAAAAAAAGAAAACAATAACTTTACCTGCCCATAATTCATTAGTTTTCAATTACTTGCTCAGGAGAAACATCAACACTTTCATTCAGGACTTTGGGGAAAGTTTATTATTGGAAAACCATAGAAGTTTTCAACTGACAATGATGACCTGATTAAGGATGAAAAGACCATATCTCAAAAGATGGTAACGTTAACTACTCAATAGCACAACACTTTACAGCATGGAGATGCTCAAACAATACTTTTGGAAAGAAGGAAAGAAGGGATCACAAGAAGCTTCTGAAAGAAGGGCTTACAAGAGGCTTCCCTGTTGACTGGAGAAAAGAACATGAGTTTAGATCTTTGGGTAGAAGAGATATGGGTGTAGATATGACCATCAGATTCAGAATGTAAAAACTGACAAAAATCAAGGCCTCTATTTTGAATGTATCAATATCAGTATCCTGATTATGATTTTCTTTTATAAGATGTAACTATTGGGAGAAACTGAGTAAGGGGTACATAGGATCTCCCTAATATTCTTTACAACTACATGTGAATTTATAATTATCTCAAAATAAAAAGTTTGACTTTTAAAAATCACAACACAGACCTATGGGAAATAATAAAATAGAACTTGAAATTTATGGAGGAAAACAAATCAAGTCTTCTATTCAAGTATAAAGGTTAGAGTTTTCTTTATTTTTCATAATTGTCATTATAATATATGAAAGCAATAATTTTTAAGTGTGAGAGATATTCTGGCATTAAATATGTTATGACTCTCCCCAAAAGTAACTCATTAAACTCTTTGGCCAATATAGTCTATAACAGATCTGAGCCAATGCATCGACTGAAATTTGCAACAAAGAACAAGAGTATGTTCTCAAATTAGCTAATGACCAGATCTACTAAGAGAATGGGAACAGAACCTGTCAGCACATTCTCACACTCTTTTGCCAAGTATAATCACTTCTCTACCTTACCTACCTAGTACTCACACTCTGGAATCATTTCCTGCCCTTGCAAAGGTAGCCAAGAAGCCTAGCTAAGCTAAACATGAGCTAGGAGTCAGTTTCATATGATTACATCTGATTGTTGGTGCCTTGACCCTGCTTACTTTTCTACTCAACCCTCTTGATGCCTTCCCGAAGCTTTACCTAAACTTGACACTTCAGGTGACACTCTATTTAGTCTGCTTTGGAGCACTTAATATAGTTGTTATTTATAAGATCACTTAATGTTTGCCTTTCCCTCTATACTGCTTAGTCCCATGAGGATAAGGACTATGGCTACTTTATCACTACTCTCTTGTGCCTGGCAGAGTGCTTAGCATTTATTAGGCATTTCACATCTGTTTGTTGAAAAAATTAATGAACTTGAGCTTGCATAACTGGTTTCTGATATCATGAATATTTCTATCCTCCATGCTCAATTCTTTTTTGGGGGGTGGCAGTGGGAGACAACTGTGCTCAACTCTTGCTTTGTCTTCCTCAACGCCTGACCTGCTTCCTGCTCTAACCTCATAACAATGCCTGGCTTTTCCAGTCCTACCATGTACCTGGTGGTATTCCTTTTCTTGCTCTGTTCACATAACAAATACAAATATAATACTTAACACAAACCTTTGCCCATTTTTCCTTCTTTTTACATTCTATTTCCTATATATTCTGAGAAAAACAGAACATAAATGTTAATATTTGCTGAGGGATGTCTATATGTCAGATAGTCTTCCAAACTCCTTACATCTATTAACTTATTTAATCCTCATAACAACCCTATGAAGTAAGTACCATTATTACCCTCATATTACAGATAAAGAAGTTGAGGTACAGAGAGATTAAGCAACTTGTCATATTCACACTGTTAGTAAGTGGTGGAGCTAGGACTCATCCCAGGTAGTCTGGCTCTAGAGCATATGTTTTAAAATATTATACTCTATTGCAGAAGCATTCACCTAGAAAAATTACAGAGCCCATGCATTTGCCCTTTTGCAAGACTGGGCAATCCACATCTATAATTCAAAAAACCAGAACTCACCATTCGTAATGACCTCACTCCAACAACATCCAGGAAAGATATAGCTCCACAATCAAGCACAAAGCTGTGGATGGGCACTTTAGGAACATTCACTTTGACTGGAAGTTCAGAGTTCCAATCCACTTGAATCTCTATTTCCTTGGTTGGGATATCAAGTTCTTCTGGATCTTCGACATCTTCATCAAACTCAAAAGCATTATTTGATGAGCCAGCATCACTTATGATGCCATTCTAAATAAAGAAAACACTGCCAGCTTAATTGCCAATGATTTTAAATGTCTTTCAACCATTCATCTCAAATTATTTAAAAGTCTTACACGCACTGTTTCTTGGTAAACAAAACATCAAGGAGATGAACTCTTAAGGAACGAATTTTACCTCAGCCCAAACTGATGTTCTCTAGGAGGAAAAATGGAAGAACAAAGGAGCCAGGAAACTCCTGATTTCTGGAGGACTGTGGAACTTTTCCAAGAGATACATTGGCAGGAGAGTCTGAGTAAGAGTTAACAGCTCTAAAAGTTTATAAACTGACTGCCTTCTACTGTAATATTCTGGCATTGAATTGCATCTATTTTGTTTCTTTCAGTAAAAATAAGGTTTAAAAAATAATGCAGATGCTATTCATGATGAAAAAAATCATTCTGTTTATTTCCCGGGAGCTCTGCTTATTTTATTTTTTCCTTTTCATTCCCTCTTGCCTGCAAGAACAGCTCAGCTGTTCTCTGACATACATATGTCATCTGTTTATACACATCTGGGTACCAAAGAGGATAGATTTAATTTTAGACCATCTAACTGCTTTCAGCAGAGAAAGAAAAGAATTTAAGTAGGAAAATATAGATGTTGCCTCACCTTTGTTGCCCTTAATTGTCCTTTTTTGATGAGTTTCTGTATCTTCCTCAATGCTTTTAGCCTTTTATTATATACTCTAATGGCATCAAATCCAACCTTTGGGAATAAATATCAAGTTACTTAGAATGTCTGGTTCCTGATGCTCATTAATAGCAATTGCTATCTGGAAAGATTATGAGGTCTGATGGAGTCAGTCCCTCTCCACTACAGCCACCCTACCCCTACCCAGAGACTCAGAGAAGACAGTAACCTATCAAAGGCTTCAAGAGAGTAAAAGACAGAAAAGCAAAAAAAAAAAAAAGAAAAAAAAAACCTCTTTGGCTTTAAGTCTGTATTTTCCAAATTTCATAGACATCACAGAGTCCTTTTGTTGTTACAGAATCTATGAACATTCCTCTGAACCAGTTTGCCCTAGAACTCACTTGGGAAAACCTGATCTAGAGGCAAACTCCAAGTTTGAAGCACAGCATGGCATTCAAAACCAGAATTTCCTATATTCCTCTAGTGGTTTTTACTCTTTACTCTGACTGGTCAGTATCCCCACCCCGGTACATATTCCCACCTTCTACTCTCAGCTCACATAGTTCCCAAACACCTGACATAATTGCTTCTGCCAACTGTCACACAAAATCTGATTAGGCCAACTACATGGATGTCTCCCTTCTATTAATTCCTAACACTTACTACCTATACTACTTATTTGGAACTTGCTCAAATTCTTCCTGGAGACAACCCTACCATTTTTACCTGGCATAGTTATTGCTACCTGGGTTTTAATGTATGTGTTTTTTCTGTCCCCAAATAGATTGAGGGCAAGGATGCTATGTGATAATTCTTAATGCTCTACACAAAGGGAATACAGTATAGCGAGCCCAATAAGCACTTGTAGAATTAATGAAGTCCTAATGGAGATTAGAAACCAAATTTCTAGGGATAAAATACTTACTGTGGACTTGATACATTTTTTAAAACCATCAATGTTGCCATAAAAGAGAGGACTAGAAAATCTAAGAATCTTCACTCCTTCGGGTTCTTCAATCTGGCATTAAAAAAAAAATTGTCTAAGGTTAAGCAATTTCAGGCCTCAAGTATTCAATTAAATTTCTGGCTATTCAGCAAGGAGCCAGGTCACAATTGCTCAGAGGAGCTGGGCAGCAGCACTCAACTTTCCTTAAATAGACACCTCATCCCAGTTGGGAGGCAATAGGTAATCAAAACTCTTAGACCGCCACAATCTCATAGAAGGTCAAAGTTAGAAATAGCCTTAGAAAGTAATTATTTGACCCTCTGACTTTCAGATGAAGAAACTGAGATGTTGATGTGACTTGCCCCAAATTCATACCACTGACCCTCTTGATTTTGCTAAAACTCTTTAAAAGTAGCCAAAAAAAAAAAAAAGAGAGATAAAGAGAAAGAGAAAGGAAGGAAAGAAAAAAGAGAAAAAGGAAGGGAGGGGATGGGTAGGAGGAAGAAGGAAAAGGAAAGGAAAGAGATCAAGGGGATTTGCAGGAACTGAGGCCTATATGTCATCTGCTTGTTCTCAGCCTGAAAAAAAATTCTCTAAAATCATTTTTAGCTCTTGATGGCACTTGGCTCAACATAGCAGAAAGATTATGGAAATAAATTAAGTAGCAGTTACTGGACAATTCTAGGCTCACTGTCCAACTTCCTAAGGTTCACATTAATTTTTTTTTTTTTTTTTTGCTAAATTTGTGTTTTCTTAATTTAATTTCTCTGCTTTTTCATCTTTGTTTCCCATAGTGGTCACTAACCAATTTTATTTGCAGGTGACAGAAGCCCGTGAGTGGGATGTTTAATTTCTTTGTTTTTCACTTCCTGTATCAGATATTATTTCTTCCAATTCCAAGGATAAAGCAAAATGTCAAATAAGGTCTTGGTGACAGAGAACTTGAAAATCTCATATTAGAAATGAATGAAGAAAATCTTATAGGGATTTCAGGCAATTTCACAGAGGATAAGGATTACATAGCAGAGAAATAAAAACTTAATTGAATATCTGAAAATAATCTAATTGCCTATTATTCTTAAATCCTCAGACAATGGTTTTACATTAAAAGAGCATTCAACTACCATGGATAAAATTTATAAAAAGCCATGGATGTCAGAAGGTACATTGGGTCAAACGTTTTCACAACCCTCCAGTGGACTTATGGACTTTTCCAACAGAAGTCTCCCCTTTGGCTGCCTTGGACCTAAGATGATAAAAGAGAAATATGTGACTCCTGAAATTCCAGGCTAGTAAAACCAAGTCCAGCAAATGTCTCACAAAGGCACTTACATTTTTGTAATTCTTGATACTTTTGTAGATGTCTGTGTTAGGGATGCTTCCAAGGCTATTCCATGAAGGGCTAAAAGAAGAAAAATAAAGGTCAGGATTTCTTGGAACAGTCATATTTTGGAATAAAAAGTTAAAAAGAAAGAACAGCTACTAAAGAGCCCATCATTTTGGTGTTTTGGACTCTGTCTTTACTGCAGATGACATTTTCCCATAGTGAACTCTGAAATACACAGCTGGTGTTCATGTGGAATTGGGGAAGGAGGAGGAACTGTGATTCTCTTCTGATGGCTGAGAGAAATAATGAGCATCACACTTTCACGTACGTAACACTGTAGAACCAGCAAAGAGCTTTTACCATGACCCTGAAAGGTCAGCAGTATTTCCCTTATTTCTATTGGTGAGTACACCGAGGTTCAAAGAAGCCAGGAAAGGCCCAGAAATAAAGGGCAGCACAGCCTCTGTCTTTAACCCATGAGTCTTTGTTGCCTGGCACTTATTTATGACACGGCAACTCCTGATGAAGTATGGAGAGTCTGTGTGTGATCCCAGAGGCCTGGGAGGACCAGAAATAATAAGTCCTTCATATCAACCAGACTGCTGATTTCCTGTTTCTGATGAAATCAGATAAATTCCATGATTCTTCAAGTGTGAATAGGGACATATGCTCAATACAATTCCTGAAGAAAGAGTATCTGTTTGGGGTACTTTCAACATTATGCTCACTGGATCAGCATTATAATTACCAGAAATTAAATATTGTGGAGGATACTACTTTTTGTTGGCTAAAAGCCTTGTTACCAAATCAGCAGCTAAAATATGCCACCAATTTTTCCTTGGCTTGCTGTGTTGTTCTGATTTCTAACTTAAAGCTCATAAGCTAGTCACTCTCTACAAAACCTTTCTCTCCCAGCTACACCCACACAAGAAAAAACAGACACCGAAGTATATATAGCATGAGAGGCAGCATCTTCTCAGGACAGTTTCTGAGTTATTTCCTAGCAGCAAATTGGGTACTTTGGGAAGTTGGGAACTCTTTTAGGCCCCTGGGCAACCATTTAGGGTGCTTAGGCAGAAAATACAAGCCTTCTCGGTAGGCACCAACATGGCAAGTTAGAAAAGGAGGGCAAGAAGGATAACTGGTTAGTGGAAAAGGAGAGGGGAGCTTATGCTAAGCTGGTGACATCTATGTTGATGTTTCTCCAAGTTTCTTCTTCCTTCATGGCCCAAGCACAGGCAGAGAAGGTGCCAGAAGTCTGAGAAGATGACAGAAGCGTTGAGGAGGGAGAGAAACTCTGTTCCCCTGTAGGTCCAAGAGGGGACATAACTAAACCCTCTCAAGAGTCAAAACAAAACCAATGAAAAAAATCCACCTCCAGACTCTCACCTTCCTTCATGGGTTGTTTTCCATTGTTTAAATCGTATCCGCTGCTTTCACTCTGCATATGAACTAATTAAGCTTACTTCACATAATTGTGTGGCTTATTGGCTATGTGCCTTATTTGACAGATTTGAATGCATTTTGGCTATCATCAGCTGTTTTAAAGCTCTCCTATTCTGGGTTACATAACTTTTGAGCTACTAGCTTCAGAAGAAGAAAATGAACTATAGTGTACTTAGCAGCTGTCTTGTTCCAAGCCTTGGGCCCAGTGCCTCACATACTTCATCTCATTTAAAGAAGAAACTATAGGGCCAGCCCGGTGGCGCACTGCTACAGTGCGCCACTTGGGAGCGCGGCGGCGCTCCCGCCGAGGGTTCGAATCCCACATACAGACCAGTTCCCGCTCACTGGCTGAGCGAGGGGCGGGCGCGACACCGAGGGTTGTGATTCCGTTGCCGGTCCGGTCCGGTACGGGCGTGACACTGAGGGTTGTGATCCGTTGCCGGACACGAAAAAAGACAAACAGGAAAAAAAAAATAAAAAATAAAAAAATAATAAAGAAGAAACTATAAAGCAACCTCAGTCTTTGGCCAAACCATATACCTTTTTGTCTTACCATTACTAAAAGGACAGCACAGTAGTAGAGCATTGTGACTAAGCACATAGATTTTGGGGTGAGATACATCTGGGCTCGAATCTTAGCTCTGCCCCTTACTAGCCCTGTGATCTTAGAGAAGGTTCTTAGCTTTCTGAGCTTCAATTTTCTCATCTGTAGAATGAGAATAATCAAACCTATTCATAGGATTTTCTTGAAGATTAAATGTGATAGTCTGTGAAACACTGTGCTTAATTCACAGAAATACTCAATATATAGTAACTATTATGAAAGGAAGTGGTTTTGCTATATTTACCAAAAATGTATAAGAAAGATCAGAATGTGTTGTCCTGTTTATAGGAAATCTGGGTTGTATTTTACTCACAACTGAATTCTCAGGACCACAGTAAATAGTCCAAATACAAGGCCAACTAATAAACCAAGGTCCAGCCCCAGAATGATGGATGCTATGCATGTAAACACCCAGATAACCTAGGGAAAAAATGGAAATGAAAAGAATTATATTAATTCATTAGGTACCATCAGATGATAGACTACCTGTAAAAGTAAGATCGACTATCTGCAAATAAATCATAGCTTTTTAGAAATATTCTGACTTCGTTTCATATTTAATTGGAAGTAGCAATTGGCCTTCCCAATTAAGACAAACTGTCTCATTTATTTTTAAACTTTTGAATAGGTAATATATTCACATAGTTCAAAAGGGAATTAATATCAAAAAGGTATATAGTAAAAAATCTTGTTCACAGCCCTCTCCCCTCTCCCTCCATTCCCAACCTTGCTCCCTACTTGTATCCTCTTTTATTTCTGTGTGTGTGTGTGCATCTGTGTTTTCTCTAGCATTTCTATTCTGGTCTCTTTTTCACTTAATTTGTCTTGGAGGTCTTTCCATATCAATATATAGGGAGTTTTCTCATTCTTTTTATCTGTCTTGATTTAAATTAGCAGAACCCTAAAAGATTTAGCTCTTGGTTTTTACAATTCTTCAGAATATTGTGAATGTTAGAATTTAAAATAGCATGGATTTTTTTGTATTTTATTTTTGTCTTTGTTTTGTTTGTCCTTCTAAACTAGGGTTTTTATTTAAACAATTGTTTTTTGGCATTAGAAGTCCAAGGGTGTGTGGATGAGCCTCATAGTGGATTCTTCCTGAAAATGGATCTTCCCAGAGATATAGAATCTTCACAAAATGCAGCTCACATGGAAAACTTCATGGCTTTGGTTTAGCCACACAATTCTAATTTCTGCTCTGAGGTTCCCAAAGTGCAAGTAAGACATAGGAAACAGGGATACATGGAGATATGGCAGGAAGCATATAAGAACCAAATCTTATTTCAGAGAAAAATGGGTGGTGGGTGACTTACAGCATCAATCTTATCCTGCCTCCACAGACGAGGAACGTCGCACACCTGCATAAACATCCCTTTCAGGTTGGCGATTACAACAGCTGCCAAGACCGACTGCCCAGAGAGAAAGGGAAAGCTGTGTTATTCAGGGGAATGGTTTTCCATGTGGTGATTTTTAAATCTCTTGTTTTTAAATAACAATTAAATGGATAATCTCCTGTTATTTATACCTTCTGCAAAGGTTCCAGAAGCTTCCCTAGGGCAACAATGGCGATCATCACAATCGCAGCTGAGATGATGCCAGCAATCTGAAAAAAACACACCTCCCATTAAGAGGGTTCGCGCTCCTCTCTTGTGTCTTCCAGCTCGCTAGATACATGAGTGTTTCAGAAAGCCTGTTCACGGGCACGCTAATGCTTCCCCACCTCCCCACTTCTGCTCAATACTGTTGAAAGAAATGAGGACTATTTGCTAAAAATCTATGAAACTGATCAAAAGTGGAAAACATGCATGCTATGGCAGAGAAATTAAAGGAACTGTGGAAACTGAGTCTGCTGCTAAAGTAAAGCCAGTTTGACTTGGATTTCGTTTGGATATATGAAGGTACTTCGAAAAGTTCATGAAAAGACTCATATTATCTTTTAATTCTATTTTTCCATGAGTTTTTTTTTTTTTTTTTTTTTTTTTTTTTTTTGGTTGGCTGGCCAGTACAGGGATCGAACCCTGGACCTCCATGTTATCAGCACCACATTCTAACCAAACTGAGCTAACCAGCCAGCCTCTACAAACTTTTTGAAGAATGCTTGTATTACATACTTATACTTTTGGTGTCAATTCAGGAAGCCAACCTTTTAATTTTTTGCCATGCCAGGAAACATGAACCTCCTCCCTTCCCCAACAACAGAGATCATTGTCATATTCTTGGGAAATAAATTCTCTTGGCATGTATCTGATTCTTGAAGCAGCAGCCATAATAGCAACAACTCTGATAACACTTTTTACTTGTAGCACATGGTTCCCACAAAAATCGCAGAGAAAATAAATTTATCCATCCAATTGCAAATTCAAAATGCCCCACTAGCTCCTGCTTCCTCTGGCAGTTCCATAGAGGCATGCTCAGACCTTTGCCCCAAGGCAGCCTGAAACAGTGGCTGCGGAGTGACCGGCACTAGCAGGGATAAAAGGAAGCTTCAGAAACTTTACCTTCGCTGGCAAAAAAAAAGCTCTCCTAAGATCCGTAAGTAGTTAGGAGAGGAGCTGAGGGGGTAGGGACTATTCTCTGGTTTGATTAGATGACCAATGAATTCTCTGTTGAGATAGCTGGGGCATAGCCAAGGTGAAGACTAGAAGCTCTGAAACAAAGGAGAAAAGGAGACAGAACCAGAAGCAAAGGAATCAGAGAAGAAGCAACAGGGAAGATTATGCTGAGCATAAGCACTGCTTAGTGCAAGATGTCTTAGTTAAAGGAGACAGACACAGCAAATATAAATAGATAATTAAAAACTTAGTTAGAAAACATTCACTCCACCTGGCAAATTGACATTTATGTTCAGATTATAGTTGGGTTCGCCCGAGGTATTATTATGTTATGTTAGTACTAAGATGCTTACTTAGTATGCCTAGCTCCTTCTTCTGTGGGTTCTTCCTAGCACCATACCTCCAGGTTCCCAGTACCTTGGTGAGTTTTCCCCTCTCCTGTGTAAGCAGATAAAATCCTTCTTCCCTTCCTTCTTCCTGTCCTCCCATGCAATTACTTAATCAATATTTACTGAACTATTGCATCTCACTGTGGATATCAGGAGGGCTCTGTGAATTGATGAGAGACATGGAGATTTGGGGGCAGGGACCACAGCCAGCTGCCTAACTCATGCCAGGAGAGTAGCCAGCGACTCTCCAAGTGTATGTAATGTCTCCACTTATGGGGACCAAGGCTAATTTTGGTCACTATGTTAAAATCAGTGAGAGATCAAATACTTGTACTTACTTTATAAGGCTGTTTTGTGGGAAATTCTGTAGACTTTATATTTGTGAGCAGATTCAATGACTAGAAAATTAGTTATTTTATTAAGTGAGAGGTTAATCAGAGCTAGAGAGTAGTTTGTAATCAGAATTACTTTTTCATGAGCCAGTAGGAGTCAGATAGGGGTGAGAGTAAGAATACGTTGCAGTGTTTGGCTCTTCTATTATCTGAATATGTGCTAAAAACAGTTAATGTCAATGAACACTCAATCTTACATTCATTCATTCATTCGGCAAATATTGGCTAAATGCTTTTTTTTTTTTGCAGCTGGCTGGTAGGGATCTGAACCCATGGCGTGGGTGTTATAAGGCTGTGCTCTAAACAACTGAGCTAACCATCCAGCTGCCAGGCTGAGTGCTTCTTATGTGCCAGGCACAACATATATACATGTATCATAGATTCTAATGAGCATTTACAAGTACATGCTAGGACTTTACATTTTCTTATTTAATCCTCATAACATCCTAGGAGATGGATACAATTATTATTCCCATTTTATAGATGCTGAAACTGAGGTTCCAACATGAGAAGCCACACAAGAGAAGACCTGCTAATTTATTTGGTCACAAGTCCCTGGATTTCAGTCCAGGCACTTAGACTTTTAACCCCAAAACTTAGCATACATTTCAGTGATTAAATATCAAGCTATTTTTGCACTCGTTTCATTCTTCAATGCTGAAATCCTGGCATCCTTGATTCCTAAGTATAATACACACCAGTGTGTGCCAAGGGATATTACCTTACCAGGGCACCATTATCCCCTGAACCCTTTGCCAAGGAGGTCACTTTACATGGGCATTCTTACTGGGGCAGCCAACCCGTGCCTCATTTGAGCCTGGAGGTAACAGGAGGAGAACAGACATCAACATTTCAGGATTTGTCTGCACTCACTTAAGACCATGTACTCTGCAGAGCTTGTCAAGTTCCATCTCAGATGAAAGCAGCAGAAACTCCCACTGCTGACAGTTGTGGCCTGAAATGGGCACAACTTTGGAAATTAGCTCTGACCTCTTACCCTTGACCACAGATCTGTGGTTATGCCTCCTGGTACGGGCTATATTATTTTACCTGCTCCCTCAGAGCTAGAAATGTTTGTAAAAATAAAAGTTTTTAAAGAAAATTTCTGAAAATTAAAATTAAATTTTTGTTCAAAAGGAGTCAAGAAATTGGAGAAGGACAATTCTTCTTGATCTGTCACAAAGATCCATTATAAATAGGAAAGGAACATCACATGCACCAAGGACAACTAAAGCTCTCCCTAGGCAAGCCACTGGTGGAGTCAGTTTTCTCAGTTATTCTTTTTCATACTTATTTGTAAGTGTCTCTGCCTTATTAAAACCTGTTTGAAGTCTCTCTGTGTGTTTTACACTATTTAGTTTGGGTTTGTTGTTCTCCTTCAAAGTCTCAACGTACTTTTTACTCCTAAATAATAGTTCTATGTTGAGAGAATAAAACCCTCGAGGAATAACAGAAACATAATTCCTGAGTCTGTCCCTTGTCCTCATCCAGTGGGCTTGGCATATCTCACTCCGTGTCCGGCTGGAAACGGTGTCCTTTGAGAACTGCTTCTAAGCTTTCTGAGCAATTGAAGGAGGGATTATCCAGAGATTAACTGGGATGCTGGTTTTTTGGTCACCTTATAAAGGCAACAACTGAAAATCACATTTAAAAGGCAAGATTAAACCCACATGCAGAAATTCAGGAACCAAAATCTTACTCAGGAAGAAATGCCAAAATGTTACAACAAAAATATTCTTGGCTAGCAAACTGTTGTTCTGTGGGACCAAAGGCCTCTGGAGGAAGTTCCTGATCCTCGTAAAGGAAATGTGAATAGAGTTTTTCACTTTCCTCAAAATATAACTCACAAAGCCATGAAGTGCTTTTACTAATTCCTCTCTATCCCCAGGTAAGAAATTGATAAAAATCAGTATTCTTCATTACTGATTCCTTGTCAGTTGTTATTGTCCCTGGAAAAGCAGGTATGTGTAGCTGTCTGCCAAGTGAGCACTGACACAAAGAGATTTGAAAATTGCTGTATCAGAAAACCATAACAGTTTTTAAGAGGTTTTGGTGAGGGGATAGATCAAGGAGATAAATAGGCCCAAATCTAATCAGATCAGGAAGCACAAGTCCTTCTTCTAAAAGGCTAATTGTCCGGCTCAGTTCTTGTGCAAGCCATTCTGAACCGCCCCTTCCCTGACTTGCTCTCTGCGACAGATATTACCAACCTGTTAATTCCATACCTGTGTCTTTCCCCCAGTGCTCTCCTGGACAGCGGTGCGAGACAGGGCAGTGGTGGCCACAAAACAGGAGAAGAATCCTGAGAAGATGTTGCTGATCCCAAAGGCAATGAATTCCTAAGGGAGAGACTGGATGACAGTGATGCTACACATAAAATCTTTGCAAGACTTCGCCAAATGTTAAGGAAGTAGAATAAGAAAGCAAACTCCCAAACCCACCCTGCCTGGTGGTCCAATTTAATTCTTACTATTAAAGGTACTTGGGGGCCTTGTAAGACATCAGAAGTTTGGATTTCATAGAACCTAACAGAGGACTCACTGCTCTCAATCATTTTCAAGGTTGATGAGAAATAGAAACTGACTTTTTCACTGCCTGGTGAGTGGCATATTTGCAGCCATCATAAAAAGAGAAAAATATTTGCTATGAATAATATTATAACTAGCAGAGCTATTATTCTGCTTGATTACTAATCACTTAACTGCTGTAATTGCTATGCTGTGTTTTCAGAAACATACAGATAAAAAACTTGCAGATTTGCAGGCAGTATAAAATCAACTCACCTGGCAACTTATCATATGCCTACAAAAATTTTCCTGTATATATTAGTTGCACAGAGAATCACCTCAATTTAAAGTGGTCACAACTATTATTAATGGTGTTTGGTGCACTGTTTTGTCATCCTATAGCTGCCATCTAAAAAAATTACCGGAGATACTGAGTTACATGAAGAATTCTTATTCTGACCTAATATGTTAATTTTGACTGTTGTTTATGACCTGAGTTAGTTCTTTTAAAGTTAGGGTTACTTCAACTTATTTCTTAAAAAGCAAAGTAATGCAGCATGCGTATTTCAAAATAATTTCTAATGAGCAAGCACAAGAAGGAAACCAAGCCAATAAGGACTAGTGGAAGAAACCAACCCCTTCTTTAGCTGACACCAAAATCTTGCCCATTTATGTTTTTTTCTTGTTTTCAGCCCTTTAAAACCAGTTCAGCAAAGGAGTGACCATACCTGATTACCATCGATGTTGTAATCATACTTGGTGGCGTATACTTTTCCTACAGACACTGCAATAGCATAAGCCACCACAGCAATGGAAAATGATGCCGTCAGCATTTCAGAAAACAAGCTCACCGGTGGGACAGCAGGAGGCAGAAACCTAGTGAGTTTCAAATGAAAATGCTGTGAAGACTTGAAAAAAATTCTTTCCCCATCTCACCAAATGCTATATGCACTCAGCCACATGTTAGACATCAAAGTACTTGATCCAAGAGAACAAAGAGCACATGAGGTGCATAAAGGAGGGTAGCATGGAGTCAGTTTTTGGCAGTCCAGTGAGACATTGTTATTGAGGACCAAGCGATTCTCACATATGGTTCTGACCCTCAATAGGCTAAAAGGAAGGTGCCAACAGCAGCCTTGCTGGAGGGCTGAAGTGGGGAGGAGATCAAAAGGTGGAGTATCACAATCTCTCTGTTTCTCTCCTTTTTATTATATTCACCTGGGCCACTTTAACACTCCTGTTCTCTCCAAGCCACCCTTTCCTTTTCAGGTTTGTTAATATCATTAGCATTGTTTCTGTGCTACCAAGTGAGATCAGGTAACAAAGGCCTTTCTTGTGGCTTGTTTATAATGACACAGGCTTTGGTTATTTGTCACATCAACAAATAGGAGTATTTTCTGTGGAAAAACCCCACAAAAACAAATAGAAGTATGTTCTGAGAGCCTACTGTGAGGTAGGTGCTGTGCAAGGGAGACAGAGCTGAACAACATAATTGGGACCACTGCCCTCGTGGAGGAGCGTATAATTCTTGGGGAAGGGCAGGTAAAATATGTCCATCCTCAGATGAGTGGATACGGAAAATGTTGTATCTCTACACAATGGAATACTACTCTGCTATAAAAAAGAATGAAATACTGCCATTTGCAATGACATGGATGGACCTAGAGAGAATTATATTAAATGAAACAAGTCAGGCACAGAAAGAGAAATATCACATGTTCTCACTTATTTGTGGGAGCTAAAAATTAATAAATAAATACACAAATAACCTGTGGGGGGAGGGAAGAAGACACAACAATTACAATTCCTTGAAGTTGATACGACAAGCGAACAGAAAGGACATTGTTGGGAGGGAGGGGGGAGAGGGAGGAGGGAGGGAGGTTTCAGTAATGGGCTACAATAATCAACCACATTGTATATTGACAAAATAAAAAAATAAAAATAAAAAAAATAAAGTTAGATAATCAAGCTAACCAGGTGGTCTGTCAGATGATTCAACTTGAGTAAACCCAATGGCAAGAAGCTAGAGATCCATTCTCAGGAGGAAAGCAGCCATGAAACCTCTGTAGAGGGCCAGGAAGAATAACTTAGGGCAACAAAATGAGTTCCCCAAGACAATTAATGGAAGATGGATTTATGGGACAGAGCAGCTGTGTGGACCACCTACACCTTGTTACATATTAGGAAGCCTGACGAAAGGGATCTATAAAACATATTTTTATGTATTTGTTTATAGCTACTCAAATACTCTCATTGTTAGGGTGAAAACTCCATAACTAACGAAGCCATATTGCATATTTTATCATTAAATTCCTCCCAGCGTTAGAATTCAGTATCAAAATGTTAATCCTCTAATCTAGAGTTTCCCAAATTTACCTGATCATAAGAATAATTTGAGGCACTTTTGAAAATTATTAATTCCCAGAACCTTCCATTGGAAAGCCTGATTCAAAAGGTTTGGTGTAGGAAGCAGGAATCTGTTAAAAAGGGTCTCGTGATTCTTACAAAAAGGTAAATTTGGGAAACACTGAATGGATAATATGTAAATTAAGTCCCATGTAACTAGTTGTCATTTTTTCAAATATGTTTAGAAGAAATCATAAGACTAATCAAATGGGAAGGCAGCAGTTTCCTGTGGAATAAGACTGCGATAAGCTCGCCTGAGGAGCTTCTATTAAGAGCATGGAAAAACAAAGACTGGTACAAGGTCCTCAACTAGTATTAAGGTGGGTGGAAATAGTACTTACTGATTAACTGCAAGTCTAGTCATAAATGCTGTAAGTTAATGTTACAAATATAATAAATATCTGGGATTCCTTTTTAACCCCATATAATAAAATTATAGTGTGGGACACTTTGTCCACTCTGTGCATTTTATGAGAGATCTCATTGGTGTTTCACAACAAACTTGAGTTCAGGCTTCAGCTGCTGTCATTGCCCTTGTCTTATAGGAGAACCTCCCCAGCCATAAAACTAGATAGTGACAGATATATGAAGGTCATTGGTCTTTTTCTCTAATAATTCATCAAAATACCAAACATATATAAAACTCCCCTTGAAAATAATGCACTTCGTTTATAGGTACAAATGATATCATTATTATCTAAGACTGAGTAAACTAAATGGTAGAGAATTAAGGCCAGTTGTCTCTGATTCCTTAAAGCAGATTGTTCACATGCAATAAATGTTATTAATCATGATTGCCATTATACATATGAGTTTAAATCAGAAGTTCAGCATTAACTGTACATGTCTTGCCTCATTTTAAGAAAATGAAGAAAAAGAGCAGATGGGGGCTGCTTTTAAATAAATGGCTTGAATTTTATTTACACACTTACTGCTTGTCTGATGGTTTACACAAATGCATGTTTCTTTCAGATCACACATAAATACAACTGTTGAAGGAACACCAGTGAAATGAAGCTTATAATAAAAGGTTTCATTTAAACAGAAAGTACTGACTTAATATATTAGTATTGTCTAAGAGCAATGCCATACTCACCCTCTTGGGATGGATTTAACAATGCCAGCATTGTAATTTTTTTCCAAGTTGGCTCCATATGAAATGGCAGTAGCAATTATTGTCTAAAATAAAACAAAAGATGTTTAAAAAAACCTCCACTGGTTTTAATAATCCTTTGCTTGTCAATCTAATTAATGCTGAATTTTCTAAGTAAATATTCTACTTACCACAATTACTTCTATAGGAATAGGGATTGGGATTTTGTGTTTAAATCGGTCATTTAATTCCTTAACTGTCATGCAGACGATAATGGTGAGTAATCCAGCAATGAAATCAGCAAGATTGGTATTACCAATATTTTTTAAAACATCAATCAGGGTCTGTAAAATAATAATAATAATAATAATAATAATAATAATAATAATAATAATAATAATAATAATAATAATAATAATAATAATAATAATAATAATAATAATAATAATAATAATAATAATAATAATAATAATAATAATAATAATAATAATAATAATAATAATAATAATAATAATAATAATAATAATAATAATAATAATAATAATAATAATAATAATAATAATAATAATAATAATAATAATAATAATAATAATAATAATAATAATAATAATAATAATAATAATAATAATAATAATAATAATAATAATAATAATAATAATAATAATAATAATAATAATAATAATAATAATAATAATAATAATAATAATAATAATAATAATAATAATAATAATAATAATAATAATAATAATAATAATAATAATAATAATAATAATAATAATAATAATAATAATTTTATATACTTCCTGCTACATGTGCACATACAATTCTCACACAAAGCTTCCCACATGAAAAAAATCATACCATAATCAAACAGCACTTAAAAGTTTCATGTAAAATCATAAAAATGTGTTGATTAATACAGAGACTATTAAGTACATGCAGCCAGGGCCAGCCTGTGGCTCACTCGGGAGAGTGTGGTGCTGATAGCACAAAGGCCATGGGTTCGGATCCCTATATAGGGATGGCTGGTTGGCTCACTTGGGAGAGCGTGGTGCTGACAACACCAAGTCAGGGGTTAAGATCCCCTTACCGGTCATCTTTAAAATAAAAAAATAAGTACACGCAGCCTCTGTAATATATATAGACACCAAGTTGTTAATGATAGTTTACTTGGAGAGGTAAAACTCTGGGTGATCTCTTCTCTACATTCTTATTTTTGCTTCTCTGTATATTTCCTTTTTTTTTTTTTTTTTTGGCAGCTGGCCAGTACAAAGATTGAACTCTGGACCCTGGTGTTATTGTCTCTGTATTTTTTATAATAAAATTGAAGATTGTTTAAAAGAAAAAAAAATCATTACATACTCTTTCATTTGCAGAAAAGCTTCAAAAGTTTATATCTTAAAGTGTTTTTGTTTTTTCTTTTTGTCTTTTTTCATGTCCGGCAACGGATCGCAACCCTCAGTGTCGCGCCCGTACCGGACCAGGACCGGCAATGGGATCACAACCCTCGGTGCTGCACCCGCACCTCGCTCAGCCAGTGAGCAGGAACCGGTCTGTATGTGGGATCCGAACCCTCGACGGGAGCGCCGCTGCGCTCCCAAGCGGCGCACTGTAGCAGTGCACCACCGGGCCGGCCCCTTAAAGTGGTTTTTGATTGCTAACAAGTGGCCTAATTTTCACATTGATAGGGTATTGAGATTAAAAGCTAACAAACCAGAAACTCCCAGTTGTTTTTTGGGTATCAATTAGCCAGTATTTTAGGTAAAGCTCTACCCAATACCTAAATGTTATAGGTAATAACAAAATATTCTTAAAATACTTCATATGTAGATACAGGTGGTGATCCATTCTTTATGGCAAAGAAAAGCTATTGAATTGATATAGGCCAAGTATAAATTTTTGGAAGTTAATTTTGTGCTTAGTTTATTTATTTATTTATTTATTTTAAAAAGATGATCAGTAAGGGGATCTTAACCCTTGACTTGGTGCTGTCAGCACCATGCTCTCCCAAGTGAGCTAACTGGCCATCCCTATATAGGGATCTGAACCGTGGTCTTGATGTTATCAGCACCACACTCTCCCATGTGAGCCACGGGCCAGCCATTGTGCTTAGTTTAAACTTGAACTAAGCTAACAAATAAAAGTAACTCTTTCCAAGTGGGCAGTCAAACCAGCTCAAGAAAAACTTGTTTTGTTTTGTAAATAAGAGATTTCTGGGAATCAAGGGTGTTCATCAAGGAAATTAGCAAGGGAGAATCCCAGGGAAGAACACTAATATCTTTGTTCTATTAACTGCAGTCATGTGGAAGAAATGACTTAAGAAGGTATTCACGGCCGGCCCGGTGGCGCACTGCATAAGTGCGCCGCTTGGGAAGCGCGGCGGCGCTCCCGCCCGAGGGTTCGGATCCCACATACAGACCGGTTCTCGCTCACTGGCTGAGCGAGGCGCGGGAGCAACACCGAGGGTTGCGGTCCCGTTGCCGGTCCCTGGTCCGGTACGGGGGCAACACTGAGGGTTGCGATCCGTTGCCGGACACGGAAAAAGACAAAAAAAAAAAAAAAAAAAAAAAAAAAAAAAAA